ATTATTTATTATATAATTAAAAAATAAAATTTATTATAATATTATATATATTTATAAAATTAATTTAAAAAAAAAAAATTTTTTAAAATTTTAATTTTTCATAAAAGTAAATCAGGGAATTTATAGTAAATAAGCAGGCAAATTTGCCTACGAACCTCTACAGTTTAAGGGATAGCTTTGATACAATCTTCTTGATTAGCAAATCGACTATCTAACTTTTTTTTTAATCTTTCATTTTCAGATAGTAATTGCTTATTAAGATACTTTAATTCATTAATTTCAGATAATAATTGCTTATTAAGATCCGTTAATTCATTAATATTCTGAATCTGGTAAAGATACTTGAACTTCAAAATCACATAAGCTTGCAATTCGTCATTATTGTTATAAAAGAATCTCTAGCAACATTATTATAATGTTTTTCACATAAAAGAGTAATTTTCTAAAGAATCAAGTAATGAATTTAATTCAGAAAAATAGTTAGCTAAAATTGTAATTTTATTCTTTGTTATTTCGGTTGATGCATGTCGCCATCTCTGTTTTTCTTTAGTTTCACATGGTACTAGTTGGCTTCCTAGATATTTACTAACGATAGAATTGAATATGCAAGGTAAGTTTTTAGCTTCCGGTTTTGAAGTTGTCATTGCTAAATAACATATATATATGTAAAAAAAAGTGTATTTTAGTCTAAAAATAATTTAAAAACTGGTTTGTAAAGCTTCGTGGATCAGCGTGGATTATGAAATTACATACCTGAAAGAATATATTTCGATAGTTATTTTTAAAAAAAAATTATGTATGACGTATTTTAATTTCGAAATTTTTATAAAAATGACGATCAAACACCAATTAAATTTTAAGGCGTGATTAAAGAATATTCTAGATTTGAACTACGAACATAGTAAATCATATGATCCGTAACGTGATTTAATAGCATATTAACTCGCAGGATGATGCTCTAAACTAGAAAGGTGATGGTATCAATCTATTTTGGGATTGATAGGTACCCACTACCATCTTCTGAGGATGATTATATTTAAAGAATTAGAAAGTATGTATTTACACTTAATTCTATTATTCTTGATCATCATTTATATATGTGAATAAACTAATTTAATTGGGACTTTTCATCTCTCTTTATGGACCTATAATATTATTTTTAAACACCAATTATTATTCTAAATCATATATTAAAAATCGTTTTTATTTAACTGTTATTATTTAGAGTAACAGATTGTATTATAAAATTCGTTATCGAAAAAAAATACATTTATGTCGATTGCAATTTCATACTTTAAATTTATCTTGGTATTTACAGATAAGCGAAATCGAGAATTTGTGGCGTCATTATTAGTTGGTCAATCGCTAATTCCTTTGATTGATAAATTTAAAATGGGACAATTTCCAAACGCCCTAATAATGATGTAGTGAAGTTACACAGATTTGCCATTTTTTTTAATATACGCGAGGTTGCTCATGACGTCAAAACACAATACGATGGTTTTGTACGTAAAAATCGTCATGATGGAATCATCACTCCTTTAGGTGATATTAAATTGTCAATTTTTTGAAAAAAAAAACTACTTTTTGAAAAATTCTATAAATTTGATCAAAAAATCGCGCTTTCTTTTTTTAAAAAAATTCCAGTAAATTCATTTATTTAAACAAGTAAAAAATTTAATCAACTCTTTAAAAATGGTTAAAGCAAAGACAACCGGGACAAGAAGGACGTCTAGTAGAGTAACTTCCTTACCACGTCGTTTATTTTACAAGACGAAACGTGTTATTATGACACCTGTAAGAAAAGTCAAAACTCATACTGCCGGAACTACCACAGCTCCTACCACGACTACTCATAAAAGGGTTCGTAATACATTTTTTTAAACAAAAAATTAATTATATAACTAACATGGTAATTGCCTTGTATCATTTTTAGAAACCATTATTCGGCGGTTTCACAAGAAGTCACAAAACTCCTGGAACTCACCCTGCTCATAGAAAAAGAAATCCCAATATGTTTGGATTCGCCAGAAGGAGAAAAAATCCTCATACAACCGCTCATACTACTACATCTCCTAAAACCAAACTTTTTGCTTTATTACACAAAAGGATTTGATTAAATATGTCAATAACACATTATTTTTAATTCTTTTTGAAATTTATAAATTTCTTATGAACCTTTTAATTTTTTTATTTTTTTAAATAATATTAAAATGTAATTTTAATTTTATTAGTTCCATATGTATTTTTAACTTGCAAATAAAGTAATTATATGTATTATATTCATTGTTAAATTCCTGCGGTTGATTCATCGTTATTACGTAATATGAAATAATTAACTATTTTTGGATTTTTTGGATTAAATATTTATTTTCAAATAATATCGTCACAATGATTTACTAACGTAATTATGAAATCATGATGACAATTAAGAATTTCTCGCCAAAAATTATAAAAAGAGCCCGAGAAATCAATTTATTTAAAATAATCATAACTAAAAAAAAGCACCTTTTTTAAGTATATATTCAACATGGAACGTACTATTACAAAAGATAATAAAATAATTCCATCTGAAAAGCCATTAGAAAAACCTTCTCTTGAAAAAGTTGAAAAAAGAGAAGCGGAACGACTAAAGAATACAAATGAAGAGGGTAAACCTAAAGAAGGTTTGCATTAGGATGCCAAGCAAATGTTATGTTGCGATTAAACTTACGGTTTTTTTTTTGATTTAGGTGGATCTGCTGGTAGAGTATTGAGTGGTGTCAAAAATGTTAAAGATGAAGTGATTCCACCACGAAGACTCAATACTACATAAGAAGGGACGATCTCGTGAAGATTATATAATTTTAATCATTTAGTTTTTATATTAAAAAAAAAAAATTTTTAAAAATAAAATCAAAATATTCGAAAACTGCATAAAAGAAATCAAAAAATAAATTAATACGAGATATTGTATATTTTTATTTTTATTTTTGAAACATTTTACATTAATAAGCACTACCCAATTTTAATCGTTTATATTTTAAAGTGATTTAAGAATGGCTTGCGTGACTTGTTGAGTTGTTGAACTACCTCCCAGATCAGGCGTAAGAACATTACCTTCCCTCATTACATTGTCTACAGCGTTATAAATACTTAGTGCTTGTTTATGATACCCTATATGCTCTAATAATAATCCAGCACTTCGGATTGCTGCGATTGGATTTGCTTTGTTTTGACCTGCTATATCAGGTGCTGATCCATGTACTGTAGAAATCGAATCTATCGTTAATAATAATTACATAAAGTTAGAAGTACTACAGGTTGTTTGATAAATACCTGGTTCTCCAACTACAAAAGTGTCGCCAACGTTCGCGCTTGGAACTACGCCCAAACTTCCAACTAATGCTGCGGCGCCGTCACTATTATTGAGGTTTGAAATTTAAATTCATGCCCGACAATATAAAGGAAATTAAAGAAAAGACGAGATTCGGTCAAACCTAATAATATCTCCATACAAATTTGGAGCAACGACAACGTCAAAAGCTTGCGGCTCACGAAAAAGTCGATAACTAGAGAGAGAGAGAGAGAGAGAATAAGTCGCCAAATTTATGATTATCAATTTTTACACGTTACTTACACCATTGAATCAACGAGTTGTTCTTCCATATCCACTTCATCATATTTATGATTATTCTCTTTAACGCTTCTAACACTTTCTCTCCATAATCCATCCGTAATACTTAATACATTGGATTTATGCACAATGGTAACTTTTGGTTTTGACTTCCATATCCTTTGATTCATTGGTATGTTTTGACGGATCCCATTCCTTCCTAATGCCATTTCAAATGCCATTTTACCACAACGCTTGGATGCGTATTCGGATATCTTTCGATCTGCCCATGCTATTTTTAATCCGGTCGCCTCGTCGATGACTTGTCTTTCTTGTTTAATATACTTTTATATAATAATATAATAATAAAACAATTGTTTTAATATTTGAGTTCGAAAATAATTCAAATCTTGTAAAGTTGGCATACCAAGCATTCGGTATTTTCTCGAATGATTAAGATATCAATGGGTTTTTGATTAATATCCTTATCGGATATGACAGATTTAACGGGTCTGACATTCGCGTAGAGGTCTAAATGCTTTCTCAAAGCCACAATAGGCGAAGAATATCCGGCAACTTTATGCGACGGGGAACTGTTAAATTATGAAAAGACTTTTAGATATGAAACGTGGTCTATAACGTGATTCGTACCTATCAAAATCTCTTACCTCACAGCTCCAAATAATGCTCCATCACATTCATTCTTTAAAATTTCCAAGGTCTTTTCTGGTAAAGCCGTTCCATGTTTTTGAAAATACTCAAAGCCTGCGTCCAAGTGTATAAAGTTAAAACGTGGTTTATCAAGCTCAGTTGGTAGTGCTTCAAGAACTTGTTGTGCAGCCTATTCAATAATCATATTATTTCACTTTTTGAAAGAAAACACGTGTAAAAGTCTTAATAAATATTTACTGGGATAACTTCTCTACCGATACCATCCGCTGGTATTAACCCTATTGTTAATTTTTTCGCTTGTGTCGTTAATGAGCGCCTTATCAGGTTAGCCATTTATTTTTTTGAAATTGAAAAAAAATAAAAAAATTTTTTTTTATCAGATCTACGGGTACACGAAAAAATAATACAATATATACTAATCCTGTTACACGAACATATAAAAAACATTTGATCAATTTTCAAACGTTATTTTTTTAAATGTTCCACTTTTAAGTCTCGATTATTATATCAAAATGGTCACTCCAACACAAACAACTTCAAACCCCGATGAAAACCAGCCTACTCACACTTCACGCTCATCTACATTAACAATATTCACTACGACGGAACATTTGGAACAAAAAACATGGTCAAATTTTTCTTCAACAGATAACTCTCATTTATCTTCGGGAGTTCCTTTACCATTCCCACAGCCATTAAATAGAGAAATGTTTGCTACACCTGAATTTAACGCTGATAATTTTTTGGCCAATAGACGTCATTTACCATTGGATGAATTAAAGAAAGAGTTGATTGCACATTTAAAAAGTTTGAAAAGTGAATTAGTGGAGATGATCAATAGAGATTACAGTAGTTTTGTGGATTTATCAACGAATTTAAAGGGAGTCGATAAGGTTATCGAAGAGGTTGCTAGGCCTTTGGGTAAAATGAGAGAAGAAGTTGAGGTATGTGAAAACGGTTTAAGATAAAGAGTTGAAAAAGTGATTGATTTGCCTCATTTTTTTTTTCACTTATAGGGTGTTCGAATGATACTTCAAGGTGTTATTGATTCACTGGAAAATCAGTTGGCTCATCGGGCATCGATACGTGAAAAGAAAGCTTCTTTGCAACTTCTTATTAACATTCATGAATCGGTAAGAAAAGTTGAAAATTTATTATTGATTAGTAGTGAGAGTGGTTCTTCACTTATTTCGAAGGATGATAGGTATTTTTTTTTCTATTTAAACATTATTAATTTATAATATAATATTAATATTTTCAATTCATTCTTATCGATAACAGTTTTTTTTTTTGTTTGATTTAATAGTGGAAATAATGCGAAACAAATTGAACGCGTTGCCATTGAATACAATCAAATGCAATATTTGGTCAACAAGGGAAAAGATTTACCCTTTGTTGAAAACATTGGTTGGGTATGTAAAAACATAATTGAAGATTATAATTCTCGACTTTCTAATTCTTATTATTAATTTATATAGAGAATTATACGGATCAAAGATACTCTTCGCATAAATCTTTCTTCCGCTCTTCGATCTGCATTACAGTTTGTGAAGGATCAGTCAAATACAACACAATCCAAAGAAATATTAACCCAAATTCTTAGGACTTATGCTTTGATTGATCAAACAAAGTCTGCAGAAGAAGTGATCAGAACAGAATTAGTTGCCCCTTTCATCCAAGAGGTAAAATTAATTGACTTTTATTAAATAATATTTAGCTCTTTTTTTATTATTTATTAATAATTTTTGTATGGCGTTAATGACTTAGACAGTTAAACGGTCCGTCCTTGAAAATCCTCAACCAATTACACCTGCGTCCGTTTTAGTTTCATCACGTTCATCATACTCTCCTACCAGGAAAACGACAAAGCATCGTATTATGGCATCCTATTCAAAAGAGCCTTTATTTCTTATGTATAACAGGATATTACAATTTATCAATAATGACTGTAGCATTCTCCTTGAAGTTACAAGAAAAATTTTAAAGGGAACTGGTTTTGAAATTTTGGTAAATTCTGTATGGACAGAGGCTGTGGATGCAGTGACTCAAAGGTTATCTTTCATATTCAATCCTGGAAATCCCAATGTGTTTCATAAGGTAAATTTTTCCTTTAAAAAATTATTTTAAATTTCCATAAATTTAATTAATTATATTTAAAATTTCTTAATAAAGAATTACACAATATCTATGAATTTTGTTTCAAGTATTGAAAGTATGTGTTATTCCAAAAAATCGTTATTATATCTAAGGAATCATTCTACATATGTAGAATTTATGAAAAGATGGCAATTGCCGGTATATTTCCAATTAAGGTGAGTTCTGAGGTTTGTGAAAGGATGAATTGGTTTTTTGAAAATGTATGCTAAATTGTTATTTCCCTTAACCTAAGGTTTAAAGAAATTTCAAATCAAATTGAAGAAGTATTAAATACAGGATTAGATGTATTAATAGACAACATTAATGATACACAATGTAAGCAAGAAACGGAGATAAGACTTTTTACATTATATTATATATTTTATTATATTATCTTTTTGAAAAGATTCATTTGATATTATTTCCCATAGATCCAACATTTTTAAAACTATCGGCCAGTAAATCAATTATATTTGCCATAGAAAGATGCTGGTCAGATGATATATTCATATATGGACTTTCGCATAGATTCTGGAAATTAACTTTACAAGTAAATATCACACTTCCATTTCATATTATATTATAGAAGAATATTCATAGTCTATTATTACAATATTAATTAATTATCTTATAAATAGTTAATAGAAAGATATAAGAAGTGGCTTATATCAATATTGGTAGAATTAGTTGATCAGACTAATGATAGAATAGTGAGTGAACATTTACTTACAACTTACGCAAGATTCACTATAGGTCACTTATGATTTACCACTTGTTAAATATAGACTAATTCACCAGCATTAAGACCAACCAGCGGTCCAGGAAATAGAGGGTCAGGGAGTCCCGTGCCAGGCTCATCAGGTTCATTGGCTAATGATGCATTAGATGAGCAAGTATTAAAACAATTAGTTTTAGTGTCTTATGATGTTGAGAATATAATTATCAAGGTAAATAGGAGTTCTCATTATGATGGATGAGGGCTAATAAAATTTATGTATATTTATATTTATATTTTTAATTTTAATTTTTAAATTGATCATTTATTTACATAAGATTAAAGAGATATATCGCGAACATATTATAAGTAAATTACCAGAATCCATGACAGATCAACCCATAGTTGAAGGTAAAGTTAAAGCGAATTGTTAATTTTATTTTATTTCAATCTACTAAAAATTTATAATATTTCATACAATAGAGAGTATTTCGAATTCATTCTCTTCTTTACAAACTGATTTACCAGATTTGAGTCAAAAGATTTCGGTAATCCTCACAAAGAGATGTACAGAAGCATTACGACATGTTCGTAGTATTATAACACAATACCGACAACCTAATACAAAACCACCAACAGAGTCTTCTTATTTTGTTCCACATATTATGAAACCATTAGCTGTATTTTTTGACGTTAACAAATCATGTTTGAGTGATAGGAGACGAAAAGAGTGGAGTGCCTTGGTAGGAGATGCTGTTGCGGTTCGGTTCGTAAATTATCAATTACTTATGTAATTTATTACACATTTCATCACGTTAATTAAATTTTATCAATATTAGATATTACACAATATTATATGATTATATTACAAATTTGAAAAAGACTGAAGAGAGTTCAAAAATTATGAAAATGAAAAGATTAAAAAAAGGACAAACCACAAGGGGGGGACTTGTTTCTTCATTATTTTCTGATTCAGGTGATAACGGAGTAGCAGAAGATTCTACAGTAATGAGTGACGAAGATAAGATTCGATTACAGTATTTATTGGATGTAAAAAAGTTCGGGAAAGAGGTTATTATTAATTTTTACTAGGTATTTGTTATATCAAATAAGTTAATAATAGATAATTCATGTTTTTATAGTTGACTAACATTGGAATTGATATTGAAGAGTTAAAAGGATATATCGATTTGTATAAGGTTGTTGAACCATATGGTAAGTTTTTGTATTTTTTTATGTTTCACTTTTCTATTTGATGAGTAATAAAAATTATTAATACTATATTTTAACAGAATCTATTCAAAAGCAATAAAAGTAATAGCAATAAGTCATCTAATATCTATAGACATTTTATTATTTTAATGAATAATTTATTAAATAATTAAGATTTGTGTTAGTATCAAATTTTTAATAATTAAAAAAAAAAAGAAAAATAAGACACAAATATTAATTCGAAAAGAAAACAAAGTAATTTTATATATATGCTAAAAGCCTGTGGCCAATAGAATAAACGTTTTTTGTTTTTATACAAGTATTATTTTTTATTTATTTAACTATATTTGTAATTCATTCTTTTTTTGTAGGGATTTTGTATCTTAAATACAATAATTTTAAATTATATATTATTAAATTATAAATTTAATAGTATTACAATAAATTAATTATATTTATAATTCTATCTTTTTTCTTATTTTTACATTAATAATTGGCCAAAATTTGATCAAAATTCAACCTATCTTATTTATAGCCATTTGGTATACATCAAAAATCAGCTAAAATTTGACCTATCTTATTTATAGCTGATTGATATTTAATTTACATCTGATTGATATACATCAAAAATCAGCTAAAATTCAATCTATCTTATTTATAGCTAATTAACGTCCAATATACATCTGATTGACAATACATCAAAAATCAACTAAAATATTTCAAAATAAAATAAAATTCAAAAGGAAATATAACTGATATTTTGAAGGATTAACAGTCAAATAATGCTAAAAACATTTAATTTATTTTCACAAATAGTATTTTTTATTAATTAAATTAAAAGCCAAATATTCTTTTGCATTTTGCCAAGCTAAAATTTGATAGTTAATCAGTACAAATTGATCCAAAATATGATGAATTGGTATTATACAATCATGACTTTTCAAATAAAATTTGATATCTCATAATTTGATATTATATGTTTCTTTTTTACTAAAATAATATTACATATTTAGAGAACTTACAGATTTATACTAATGAACATATGCTAGAAAATGTTTTGCCTATCTGGATAACAAATCAGCCTTATGTGTAAAATAATATTAAACTTAGTCAGGGTAACAATCGACTATATTATTATTTATAATAAATTTAACTAAAATATATGAATTATTTACATATCATAAAGACATTAACAAACTAAAAATTTCAGAACTAATTCAGCACCTTCTAAATCGATTCATTTTGACCTAAATCATTATACTATTTTTTG